ACTTCAAATCCTAATACAAAAAAATAGTTTGGTAGTTGGGTAAAACTCTGCGCACAGTATTATATCGAGTATGGATTATATTAATGGATATGTTGAATTTGAATTCAATGGTATACTGTATACTGTACTGTAAAACTATTCTGAGTGGAGATGGTCTTTGATGTGTTATATTATATTTATATTACTGTCCTTAAAAAATTGTGCTTATACATTTTTTTAGAATTTTCATTTTTCACAATATATTATAATAATGTTAAAACCTGTATTAAATTCACAAGCCTAATTTAGAAAAATTGAATATTTTATAAATTTATAACTACGAAATAATTTTCAAATTTTTGTGATTTTGACTAATTTTGTCAAAATTTCGGCTTCAAATGATTACAATAAAAATAGTACCAATATATTTTTTATATTTTTAAAAAGCTTAAAATAAAAATTCTTAATAAGAACTAATGAGAAACATTGTATTGAAATTTCAAGCTTTTTAATAGAGTGCAAATATTTTAAAACAAGTTAAAAAAAAATAAAGTTAATTAAATTGAAAATCTCATTCAGGAATTAATAGCTCATTTTAAGCCAATATGCTTTGCTTCGTAATGTTCGTAATCCAAAAACTTCAAGAATAATTAAATCTATATCATAAATAAATAAAAAATATTGTAAATGCGTTATTTTGTATAATATTACATTTTATAGTACCATAATTGTTCATTAAAATTAAAATACATAATATATCTAATACCTATATCTTAATATAATTTTTATGGAAAAAAAAAAATACAAAATTAATCTACGAATTATTAACAAGTTATATTACTAAATTTTAGTTATAGCCTGTGAAGGTACTTCTATTAAACAAATAGATAATAAAGAATAATTTGTAATATTCCTAATGATACTGTTGGAACCATTTATACAGTAATAATAAAAAAAATTTATTTTAAATAATATAAAAATATAATAAAATACTTTGTAATTTTACTTAAAAAATAACTAACAATATAATGGTCCATGGTTTAAACCATTGTTGAATTGTTATGTAAAAAGCTACAAAATATAATTAAAAATAACCAAAGTGTGATTGATTTATCAGTTTTATAAACGGTAAATGTATGCATGCATTGTTTTTAATTCGATTTTATATGTTGTATACGGAACACTATAAATCAAGATCATTTATTATCGTTAAAACATAACAAAAATGCCACAAGATGAAAGATTAAAGTTCTTTGTTCAATATCGGTCCAACAGTAGTGTCACTATTGATTACTGAAAAAATTGACTTGAAGAATAATCGTACAAAGTTAAATAATAACAGTCCAATTGCAATAATTGTATCAGACCATTTGAATAAAGTCCATAACAGTAAACCGAAAAACAATATTTTGGCGATTATGTCAACAAAGTACATTCTGAAACAAAAAAACAATAATAAATATAGTTGATAGGTAATAGGTATTAATTTTAATAATATAACATTACAATTAAATATCTAATTACGAACTTAATATTCTGTAAAACATCATACAAATAAGTATTTTTGCTTATTTATTGTGTAAAAAGAACAATTAGAAAGAAACATTCATTTTATAATTCGATTATATTTAAAACTTACATTTTCATATGAATTCTAGCTCTAGGTAGTGTGTCTGGAGTTTCTTTTAAAATATAAATTCGAGCAGCCATAATACAATCTCTGAAGTAATTTCTAATATCCATATCGTTTCCATCAATCTTGTACTCAAACTTCTCTCGTTGATTCATAATTCTTCTCATATAATGGACATGTTCGTTCCTGAATTCCCATTGGTTGTTTGCGTAGTATTCAAACACCTCAAATCCTTTGTTAATTCTGTCTTGAATGCGTACCAGACTTTGAAAAAAAAAATAATAAATTGGGAATTAATCTACGATTTAAAATCTGTTTGTGTTTGAAATTTTGTTTTGATTGAAGAAAAAAYAAAATACTGAATGTCTTATTCTCTTATGAATGTTTACTGTTTGAAAACATTGAACAAATTAAACTGCTCAGTAGAAATCTAGTGTCAATAAATAAAACACATTTTATGAATGCAATTTACTTTATTTTAAAAATATGAAATATAATTTATGTTTTATAATACGTCGATGTTATCCTTACCATGGTTTATTGCCAGACATATAAATAACAGCATCTAAGAAGTAAGCTGGAATAGTGTGTAGAAAAAACACACATATATTATGTACCAGCTTACTACTCTTCATACTGCCACCAGGATACCATACTGCACCGTTCAATGGTACTTCAGTAGTGACAATACTTTTCCCAATGTCAATAATCTCTTGCCATGTTACTCTCCATTCTTGACTGGAAGTTAAATGGCAAATCGTTCTGGTGTTATCGCTGAAATAAGAAAAA